TTCCTGCTTCGAAAATCAGTTTCTGATGAACAAAATCACGATAAATGACGTTTTTGAAGGGACATTTTTGTAAGTGTAAGAGAAGCTAGCAACAGCTCCTTTTAAAGAGTTTTGTTTTTTTTTCTGAATTTGTCTAAGAATGTGATGTTTTTAGCAGCCCCTTTTAAAGATTTATGTATCTTTTTCTGAATTTGTCTAAGACTGTGATGTTTTTGGCTTGTTGCAGAAGATCGCCTCAGCGGCCCAAAAGGCGACTCGCCCGGCGTTGGCGCAGACGCACCCCGCGCACCCCTGCCCGGGGGTCACTGGGACTCTGAGCCTTAAGTTGCCGATGGTGCCGATGGCTCCCTCGGAGGATAAGCAGCAGTGCAACGGGAAACCGGTTCCGGACGCGGCGACAGAAGCAGAGGCAACGACGAGGACAGCCACGGCTCCGGCCACCCAGGTCCCGACGCCGATGCCGGCCGCCCGCGCCGCGACGCCCGCCGTCGCCACCACCACATCCACCACCGCCGCCAACCCGGCCGCACCCCCCGCCCCCAACCCGGCTCCGGCCCGACGCACCCCCATGGACTATATCTTCGGCAAAGTCATCGGAGAGGGCAGCTTTTCCACTGTGAGTATTTCTTCGGCATTTGTCCATTTGTTCTAGCAGGGTGCAGGATTACCACAGTTGGGGAATTTTAAGAATTCAAGGAAAACCTGGAACACTGGAAAAAATAACACATTGGATCTAGAGTCCAGACTCTTGAAAACATTGACAAGAAAAAGGACTTTGATTCAATCAGATTTTTGCTTAAATCAAAAAGGAATCCGCTCAAATTAAGAGGCTTGATTCTTGATTTAAGCAGAAATCCGATTGAATCAAGAGTACTTTTTCTTGTTGATGTTTTTAAGAGTCTGAACTCTAGATACAATGTGTTTTTTTTTCCAGTGAAGTGTCAGGGAAAATTACGAAAATGTCTAGGAAAACTCCTCAAGTCACTTTTAGTCGCTTTCTCGAGTGAGTCTGACGTTTCGAACAACAAATCTTGTCTGAAAACTATCTCCAACTGCTACCGAAAAGAAATTCAACTTAATCGGCATTTCGACTTAAGTATGTAATTCGACTTAGCGAGCTTTTATTGTATGTCTTTTTAACAATCTGGCATTTGTGCAATTTTCAGGGAATTTCACCAAAATGTGTCAGGAAAGGGAAATACCAGGGAATTAAATTTTTTCATATTCTGTGGCAACGAGGGTGATTTTTTACTTTTCTTCATCTTTGGGACTTTTGGAGATTAACATCTGTTGATAGATCTATACAACCGGATCAGCTGAGCGGACTCGCTATCTCATAGACACGCAGCCCGCATATGTTTAGGTCAATGGATGTGGGAGTTAAATAATCACCCTGTTGGTAGAGAACCTCCGTAGAGAGAGTTTAGGCACTAGGTCCCAGAGAGACCATCAGGATCCCGAAAATTGGCACCGCCCCATGATCAGAGGAGGTTGATGCAGACCTTTTACGGTCATCACCTGTTGCGCTTGTTATGTCAACCTTGCCATAGCAAAGGTCTAGGTTCCATAGATTTTTTCGAATGGAACGAAGAAACTTACTCGCCCAACAATGTAATTTTAAGTAATATCCAAAGTGATACAAGTCTGCTGATCCATGGATCGCAGACGGAGACACGTGGTTTCGCACTATAGCCATCGAGGTGCTTTGCTTCCAAATAGCTCTACTTCGCCTAGCCGTTAGGTTTCTTTATCTAAACAAACTATAGTGATTCATGCACTTATTGTCAGCTGTATATTACCAGGTTGACTCCAAGGAGATGTTATCGTAACGCAATGTCAAGTGCACGACGCGCAAAGTGGCGCCAGTCCGCAATTCGTAGAAATGCCAATGATTAACGATTGGTCGGAATCGTGTGATACGATTTCTCTTTCGTTTTAGGATTCTCTTGGGCTCTGCGCACTCTTCCAAAATGAAAAATGAATCCCATCGTGTTGATTGTCAAGGGCAAATTGGACGTATTTCTGCCAAACGGAACTATGTGCATTAAGACATGAGCCCTGAGACCCATAAGAGTAGACACATGCATAACAGGGCTCTTGTCATAATGCCCATAGTTTCGTTTGGCAGTAATACTTTCAATTGAAAGAACGGTTTCAAATCGTCAAAAAAGGCAATCGCAAGTTTCATGGTCTAAGAAATTTCTTTCCCATTGCGGAAAGACATCTGCTTTGAACCCTGATTTCCATTGATGGGGTGACAGAGTCCACGTTTCTTGACCCCGACATTGCTCCGAGACATACCGGAAGTTACGAGTCATAAAAATTGAAAAATTACCCCTTTGGGACGCATTACACTATCAATTCATTTGATCATCTGATGAGCAGCTAATCCAGTGTTTGAAGGCATTGACATCTGTCCTTTGAGTATTCGAGTATTTTATTTTTATTTGCTACGGTCATGAAGTCGTCTCATCTGTCTCACGTATTGCATCATATGTTCTTTTTATCTCGTAGCAAGTCGATTCATGTTTAACTACCGATTTCCGAAAGACATTACTTTAATAGGAGTCAATTCCTTTCTTATCGCTGAATTCAAACCGCCTTCCCCTTAAGTGTCCTTTTCTTTTCTCATTCATAATTTCATTTTGTCATACCTTTACTTTGAAAAGTACTTTGTTTCCCGGAAAATTTGTGTTTTATCGAGGGAAAAATGAAGACGTCTGAAGGCTCATACGGCGCTCTTCCTTGGCAGGGCAGTTTTCTGGTTGAATCCGTTCAATTTTGGCCATTAAAACCGGAAGCTAGGTTGCGAGCAGTACGGAACGTCGGGCCTCGAATACGGTTCATAATGACGGAGCTTGTTTTGAGCATAGCGGCTAGCGGCACTTACTGACCAACGCAACGTAACGCAACGGCGAAGCGGCGTCTGCACGGCTTGCTCCTCGATACCCGGCGTGGTCGGTGTGTTCGGCGAGTCGAGTTGTGGTTGTGGAGCAGGACCCGGACCCCAGGTCGTTGATCCTGTAATTTCCCCGTTTAGTTTGCGCGTTCCAGCTCCTCCTGCCTCCTGCCATATGTGCAACATTCCAGGCCGCCCCCGGTCCCCCCGCCCCGCGCCCCGCGTGCGAGTGCAATCCGCAGTGCAGTTCCTTCATCGCCGACATCATCGTCCTGTACTTGATCAATGAGGCTCCTCTGTCTTTTCATCTCGTCGGTGAAACTCGGAACCCCTCGGAGCAGTAAATATATCCATGGGGGTCCAGAATTTTGTCTTGAGGGAACAAAATTCGGAATGGGTTAGTCAGGGTTGCCACAGTCAGGGAATACCGGGAAATCGGAAAATTTCAGGGAATTTTAAAAAGTCACGGAAAACCTGCAGCCTGATTGTTGGCTATGTCGGCAAGATAAGACAAGACATAGCCCTATCTGTGCCACGTAATAAATCGATTTTCGATTCTTGTCGTGCCGACATATATTTCAATAATCGGGCTGCTGGAAATGTCAGGGAAAATCGTCGAATCACCTTCATTTGCTTTCTTAAGTGGGTTTGACGCTTCGAACAACAAATTTTACCTGAAAAATATTTCTAACCACGTCTCTTTAACAATCTGGCATTTGTTCAACTGTCCGGAATTTCACAAAAATGTCTCTGGGAAATGTCAGGGAATTTAATTTTCCATATTCTGTGGAAATCCTTTCAGCTGCGCTGGTCACAGAACCGAGCTTTGATGGTTTCAGATCACAGATTAGTAAGTAAGGAATGAAAAGATCTGTCCCAACACCAAGTTGCCATGTCCGGTATTCATAGAAATGTCGCGTATGACGTCATCCACTGCGGTGGTGTAAGATGACGTCTTAGAATTCGATGAGGATGACTCTTCTAGCAGTACTTAAGTGCCGTTTGTCCTGAGCTTATACTCATCGCAGTTTTTTTACCGTTTGTTTCAGGTTTATGTTGCCAAAGATATTCACACTCATAAGCAATATGCAAGTAAGTACCTATCAGATCACACATTTTCTCCCCTTAAAGTCACACCNGGGGGGGGGGGGGGGGGGGGCTTGGCCGCTACGCGGTCCGACCCGCGGGGCGCTGATCGCCTTATAGGCATCGAGGCCAGTGAAATCGTCGAAATCGGCCGTTGGCGGTTATGATCAAATACTTTCAATTGAATAACAAAAAAATGATGTTTCTATGAAAAATTTCCCACCAAACAATATTGCTTAAAAATTGGAATTCGGGAGCGAATTTTTCACAGAATTCGCATTAAGACTAATTTTACTTGAAATCACTAGTAGCTCAATTTTTTTCAAAAACTGCACTTATGCTCCTTGTCCTCCATGCCCTCCAAATGTGGAAGTTCATCTTTCTAGCAGTAACTGATGAGCAAATATGCAGCTCCTTTTTTAGCCACATCTTGCGGAAATCTTCACATGGTGTTACAGGTACAAACATTCCGTAACATATCTTAAAGGAGGCATGATTGAAATTTAGAGTTTCTGAGAGACCGTATATCTTCAAATCCTTTCAAGTATACGCCTTCTTAATATTTTGTTTCATTTTTCTTGTGCTGAAATGTTCTTGCCCCCCTGTATTATTAAATTTTTGTATGAAGTACAATGGTTTGATTGAATTATTTTTGTTTCAGTTAAAGTCTGTGAGAAGAAACACATCATCCGTGAAAAAAAGACAGAACACATGAAGCGGGAAAAGGAAGCGCTAAACATTTTGAGCAATGCAGGAGTGCCCTTTTTTGTCAAGCTTTACTGCACTTTTCAAGATACTGACAGACTCTGTATCCTTTCTTCACTACATTATTTTGAAATTTAGAGCTAGCTTTTGATGTAACATTTTGCTTCAATTTTTTCATTCACTTTACTGGACCAAAGAGGAGTCAAATGCACATAAATGAAGGATAAGTATCCACCTATAATGTGGAAACATGTCAAGTGAAATTTTTGTCATCACAAGGAAAGAGAAAATACTTAAAGAAAGAAAAAATTGGTCAAAAGTAAAGAATAGTAACATGAAACCTTGTTGATTGAAAGATGTTTGACTTGGTGTAAACTTAGTTCTGAGGTTCTACGAATCGTTCCTTAAACTTTCTCAAAAATTAGCAAGTTATTAATTTCTAGTATGGTTTCTTGTTTTTCTCGGTTCTTCAAAGAAGCCATTAAAACTTTTCTTTCATTACCATTATTACTATAACAATGAAAAATATCTTTTACATCTACTTTTTCTCATGAAGCTACCTATTTTTATTTCTTTCGTTCAAAACTCTTTTGTCTTGCAATTCATTTTTTTCACTCTAACTTTATTTACAATTGGTTGTTTCCTTAATTATATCTGTTCAGACTTCGTTTTATCTTATGCAAAATTCGGTGAGCTGTTACCCTACATCAACCGAGTTGGATCCTTTGATTTAGCGTGTACCAGATTCTACGCAGGAGAGATATTAGTCGCATTAGAACATTTAAAACGATTAAAAATTATCCATAGAGACTTAAAACCAGAAAATGTATTATTAGATGAAAATATGCATATTTTGATCGCAGATTTTGGCTCTGCTAAACTAAATTATAACGTAAACACTGCTCGGACGACTACCCGGACATCCGTTAACAGGGAAGACCAAGACTCAGGTAAGATTCTATAATTCTTATTTTTATAGGTCCATGTCTACTTAATTTAAATCTTCAATTATTTGCTAAGGATTTGAAATTGTTTGACTCATAGCTACTAGAAGTCGAACAGACCATCAATTAAGATAAGAGTCCAAGCATTATATGCTAGGCCTCTTTAGTAGGATTTCATAGACAACTTATTAAATATGTCCAAAAAGTCCATGGTTATGCTAAAAGTACGTCGAATACATTTATATTCACTTTTCAAACTTTCCTCTCAAAAGACCAAAAGCGCGAATCAAATTGGTCACTGAAAATAAATGTACAAGTTTTGCAAATCAAAAAGGTTGTCGGAGTGGTTTTGTTAGCCGGAATTTTTAGCTGCTCATGCTCTTTCACTAACGTAATTGATGCTTTATTTTCTAGGATCAGAAAGAGCTCGTAGAAATAGTTTTGTTGGCACTGCTCAGTATGTCTCTCCAGAACTCTTGACCGATAAGACTGCAACACATAGCTCTGATCTTTGGGCCCTGGGTTGTATCATTTATCAAATGATAGCAGGACTCCCTCCTTTTCGATCCAGGTGAGTAATTTTAAGTTTGGCCTCTGTTCTTATCTCCTGATGTGTGGACAAGGTTTTTCTTTTTTTTTTAGTGAAGAATTTACTTGAATCCCCTATTCAAAGGATCAGCAAGTAAAGAAAAGTGCTGAAAAATCAAGTAGGTCTGCAAGTACTGAAAAAGTTCAGGGAATATTTTGAATTATCTAGAATTTTCTGTGTTAAATGTGTTTCTAAAACGATGTTCCTAAGAGTAAATAGTAGGGTCTTGCAAGCCGTGCACTCATTAGAGCATGATGATTGAGTTCCACCCAAATGGACCAACACTGGCCGAAGTCTTTTTGCAAAATTTTTCCGACTACATTTAACTCTGTCAAAACTTGGATTTTGGGCGCATGGGCCCTTGAGAAAAATATTGGTTCTCTGTCGCCTGTCTTCAATAATTAATCTTAAAATGCTCTTTTAGTAATTCTCATAATGTTTAAATAGTTGTCCTAATTTTTACAGAAGCGAATACATAATCTTCCAGAAGATCTTGAAATTAGAATATGAGTTTCCTCAAGGATTTTGCTCAAGTGCAAGGGATCTTGTAGAAAAACTTTTGGTAAGTCCTTCAACCAACCTGACTTAAAATTTGTTCCTTTTATACCTAATTACTATCATAATCCTATACCTTAATTTTATTATGTCCAATTCTTTCACATTCTAAGTAATCAACATGCCTTAGTTACAATGAATTTTTCTCTTTCGCTCACTGGATCTTTTTAATTCACCTGTTCGTTATCATCCCCACAGTCATTGATAGGCAAACGACTTACCAATCTCCAGGAATAACAGTGTAATGGCTCCCATATGGTCATGGTAGGAGTTTTCTGAGTTTAGTTCATTCAGTGTGTTCTTAAGCATAATTTCTACTAAGATGGAACTCCATAAATGATAATTTTCTAGCGAAGTTTATTCTCATTTTTACTACGCTTTTTTGTGCTTCAATTTTGTTATTTTCTTGTGTTTTTCAGGTTATTGAATCAACCAAAAGATTAGGTGCAACTGATTCAAACAATTACACATCAGTTCGTTCGCATCCGTTTTTCGATGGTGTGGATTTTGACAACTTGCATCTAGCAACGCCTCCTCCAATTTATCCTTACTTACCAGGAGTATCAGAAGAGGAAGATTTAAGGAGTAATTACAAGGTAACTAGTTTAGAGTACTCCATGACACTACACAGTCAATGTTTTTCCCCTTAAGAATCATCATTGTATGCTACAGTGTTTTATTATTAAATTTTCCGTTAGATCCAGAAGGAGGACAGTAACCTTAGTCTGTTATTGAATGCCAAAATTACAGCTCATCCTACCATATTTGCAGTGTTAAGTCTGCACAAATAGTATTTTGGGAATCACCATTGTAATTGTTTTCCCCTTTGATTGGAGGCATTCTGTGTGATCTCTTATAACTAATATAATGAGGAAAAAATACACCAAAATTCTGTAAAATCTTCAAATTAACATACTGTTGTATCATTCAAAATCAAATATTGGTGTATAAATTATTTTTGAGCTGTATGACAAAAATTACATCTGTGTTCACAAGGGCAAACTTTCAATTGACACTATCGTGATACGAAATGTCTCTGGTTTATTTTTCACAATCGCTGAAAAGTAGCAACAACTTCAGACTTCTATGTTCAAGCGTAATTAAATAATTAGTTTTTGTCAAAAACTTAATATCTGAACTGATTTCAGGTTCCTGATAGTTTAGAGCCTGGCTTAAATGACAAGCAACTGACAAGGTTATTGGGATTAGAACTTCAACCTAGCAAACCTCTAAGGAAAAAATCTAGTATTTTAGATATTAGCAAAGAAGAAATGGAAGCCAGACTAGCTAAACAGCAAGAAAGCATGTGGAATCAATTTGTTGAAGGACACCTGATTCTGAAGGAAGGATTAGTAGATAAAAGGAAGGTAAGTCATCCTCAAGCCAGAATCAAATTTATTTTGTTCTTTTTTGGCACTAAATTTGTAATGGGCCTGTTGCAAACTTTTGCTAGAGCAAAACTAAGAGTTGTTTCTTACAGATAATGCCTCAAAAATCACGATGAGCGCATCGGCAAAGTCTGAAATGCACTCATAACTTCACAATCTGCCTAAGAAATTTGCGGTTTTTTGAGCTTCCCGCTTCGAAAACGATACTACGGTACAGGTGAACATTTTGTTAGAGGAGTCGTTCCATTGGCGGCAATACTCATCATGGCCGACGCCAGTCCGCCAAAACACGTGTGATGGGATGAGATAACATCTGAACAGGATTAAACCAGATAACAATTGGCGTGTTTACGTTTATATTTTCCTCGCCCGCCTTAATTGATCTTGAACTCTCCTCGAATTACTCGCGGAACTGTGCAAGCGTCGGCCATGATGAATATTGCCGACGATGGAGGGACTCATCTAACAAAATGTTTACCTGTGCAGTAGTATCGTTTTTGAAGCGGGAAGCTCAAAATAACGCAAATTTCTTACGCAGATTGTGAATTTATGAGTGCATTTCAGACTTTTCCGATGCGCTCATCGTGATTTTTGAGGCATTATCTATAGGAGACAACTCTTCATTCTGCTCCAGCAAAAGTTTGCAACAGGCCCATTATTCAAGCAATGTGCGTTTGTAACTGAATTTTATAATTTGGTAGTGCTATTTGTATGGAGTAAATCCTGTTTTTTCACAATTCCTGTTTGCGAGGTAGAAATTAGGATTTTGAAAGATACCATACTCAAAAACTACTACACTGCCCACCCAAGCATTATCAATTCAAAGGCCTGGTAATTTTCCTGTTCAAAACATATTGCCGGAAGAGAATCGGAAACATTTAAGAAAGGTGCGACTCTCTTAGTACGGAATCATTTTTCAGTTTTATGAATGCAACATATAGTCATAATTCTTAAAATTAAATGTAACTAGAATTTACTGTCATTAACCAATTTTTCGGAACTCGGTTTGGTTGAAAATATTTTTACATCCTTTGAAAAAAACCAACTGAAAACGTCTCTGCCCTATCAAAGACAATTTACGACCAAGTCTCCAAAATTGCAACTTGTGTGGTTGACTCCTCACAGGCCCACAGCATCTTTAGTTGGTTGAAGGATTAAATTCTCTATAAGTTGTAAGATACATACTTAATGACTCATTCATTAAATCCTGAAATCCTTTGAGTATATTACATTTCAATGACAGATTTGTCTCTTTCATCATGTGCTAATCTAATTTCTGTGTTCACAGGGTTTGTTTGCAAAGCGAAGGATGTTGCTGTTGACGACAGGTCCACACCTTTATTATGTTGATCCTGTCAATATGGTTCTCAAAGGGGAGATTCCATGGAGCTCACAGTTGCGAGTTGAGCCGAAGAGTTTTAAAATATTCTTTGTTCATACGGTAAGTTTAATATGAATGATTCAAAATACTTCTGTCTACAGGTGCCTGGAAGTCACTGGGCCATTCTTTGGGAATCAATTTTTGGGGTCAAAGGAAGTCTTTTTTTGTATCAAGAAAGTTTCTCAGAAAATGTTTTTTTTAAAGGGGGGGGGGGCAGAGCTGCCCCTCATAGTTGTTGATATTTCCCTCTAGAAGTCCATGACTCTTTTTCACAGTCTGAAATATCAGTAAAACATCAGGGAGTAGTTTTTTGCATTCTCTTCGTTTTTTGTGGTTTTATAGGTCTTCAACTTTGTGCAAAGGCGGTGGGCAAGATCTCTACTCTTAAAAAGTTACATTCATTTTTAATGTAGAGATCTTACTTACCATGAGACCTTTCCATGAGAGTGAAGCTCTTTCAAATCATGCAAAATGAAAAGTACACTGAAGATTCCTCCGTCTACCCAATACTGAATTTTTACTTTCATCTAAAGTTTTGGAAAAGAGTAACAGACAAATATTGGAAAACAATCCACAACTTTAATGGTTTTATAGCTTCATGAAAGCGTTTTCAGAGAAATTTTCATAGATCCAAAAAGTTCTATCGTGACGACCTCAAATATTGATCTCCGAAGTATGTTTCATGTCGATTGTCAGGTTGATAAGAAATTTTTAAGCGTAGTTATTTTTTTAATTGTGTTTTTGGGTTGAAAATCTTGAGTTCCATAGTAACGTCTGTATCACTACTTCAACGAAATATTTTGTTTAAAAAACTTCCATGGCAGGTAGCCATGGTTCATTCCTTCATATTGTAGAAAATGTATTCGCTTGCTCTGTTCATAGAGAAACTAGACCAAGAACATGAATCTCTGTTTTCAATTTTGCAGATTGCATATCGTCCTATAATTTTTTTTTTTTTTTTTAATTTGAGAACTAATCATTACGAAGCATAAGGACCCTTTTCCTTCTTTGAAGTAAAGGCCTCCGTAGATTTCATTCAAATGTGGTAAAAATTAAAGCATATGATGACACAAGTAGACAAACATTTTAGCTGGAGAATACTATCAATTATCGAAAAATGAGGTGGGAAGTTCGGGATTCAAAGGGTGAATTCGAATTTCTGCTCTTTTTAGCGCACTTCTTGTCTAAAATTCTGCTTTTTTTCTTGTTTGATTGTGCTTACCCGTGTTAAGTTATAGAGGTCGATTTGCTACTCTATCAGTTATTTGATGTTCTGTATCACTTTAACCTCCCCAGAAATAGAAAGTTGATTTATATGTATCGGCTAATGTTAATTTTTTTTCTTTTGCAGCCCAATCGCACCTACTATTTGGAAGACCCACAAGGGTACGCCTTAGAATGGTGTAAAGTTATCGAGGAAGTTAGGGTCAACACATATAATAATCTACCTACATAACCACTATTTATTCGTAGCCTCCTCAGAAGCTGTAGTAAATTTTTATTGAGTTTTTATCGTAATAATTTATCATCCTGTTTTTCTTTCCAAACGATTCAAGAAAAGAAAAACTGTGTAAAATAATTATTGGGAATCGTTTTAATGAAATTCATTCTGATCTCTTCATGATTGTTTTATATCTGATTATCTGTTTTCTGTTAATGTATTTTTTACATGTCAATTAGTTCATTTGAGAGTAAAAATTGTGTCTCAAGCTAGTTTAAATTCGTAGTACAATTCTACTGTTAATGGATAGTAACTTCAAGTCCTTGTTTGTTGTTTTGTTTGTTTTGTTTTTTCATGATGTTTTATATGAATCCTTCAAATGACTCGTCTGGTTGTACGAATCTTTAACTCCATAAATCTGTAAATTCTAAACTTTTCAGTCAGGAATGACTATTTTTGCATAATGGAACCAGTAGGACTGTTCTGCAAATTTCCTGCCTGTCCGTATGGTTAAATTAACAATTTGTCTCAGCAACTTTTTCATTATTTATCTGAGTAATAAATTATTCTAAGATTCTCTACAGCCAGTAGCATCCTGTAGCTATAAAATTGGAAAAATGCTGTACCCCACAAAAATAAGGAGTGTATCTAGATATTTGTAACAGCCCAATCGTTAACACTAAATTATTCAATTGCATTTGTATGATTATGCGCTTTTTGGAGGTTGTTCGAGCAATTGGTTGTTTCTAAATTTTACTCCTTTCGCATTGAAATTGTCTCGGCTTTTACTAGGTTTTCTTTTTTCTGTATTCAGTTTTCAAATATTGTATGCTTATCCTCACAATTTTTCTTTTTCATTGTAGCTTACAATTGCTGTGAGGTTGTTTTTTTAATTGTCCCTTTTAGTGTGTGAAATTAATATTGTGTGATTTAAACATGAGCTAATAATTCTTGCGATAGCTAAATCTGAATCTTACAGTGGTGCAGACTAAACAAAGTTTAAAAATGTAGCACATCGTTTGTTGGGACACTTTTTAAAAGTATGAGAGTTAAGGGGCTGACTGCCATTGAATACTCTTTGCAGAACATTGTTTCTGAGACAGTGAATGACAGAGTACATCTTACAGTGTACATGTTTTGCGAAGTGTTACAATGTTGCTCAGTTTTAGTAACATCGTTTTAATACGGCATGAAGCCGTAATTGCATGGAATCCCCCAATGCTTATTAGAGAATGTTGTTGTGATTTTTATGATGTCTTGGTTATCAAAATTTTTAGATTTGCATTTCACATGACTTGGTGTACATTTTATGGACATTTTTGCTGACTGAGTCTGAATAAGTGTCTTAATTTTAAAGATTTTTGTTAGCAGTCATTTAGTCATATTTAAATTTGAAATTTCTAAAGAGATCGTTAAATTTCTAAATTTTGTCTGTACGCAGTTCTTTGAAGCTTCTAATTAAAGACTTCTCCTATCATTTGCTCTCAAGACTTCAAAATATTACCGGAAAAACATTTAACATATTTCCCTACGTCTGTTCTTTTTTGACACAAGACTAACAGATTTATTTTTTTTTTTTTGGAACACTCCAGCAAAACTGTTTGTCATTTATTTTAAATTTGAAAGTTGATACTGAATTTGCCCCTAACTTCTCCGGACAATAGCATCAGGTCAATGCTGAATCAAAACTCAATTAGATCTTGAAAAAGTTTGTATCCAAGAATTGAAAGTTCCCTCTGTAATCAGTTTTAGAAGTTTTAGTGTAACATAGTAAATATCGAGTAATATTTTTGTTCATGGAGTTTTAAAGAGATTGTGAATCACATCCCAGAAATTTTAAGACAGATTTCTTTAAACCTTTCCATGATACTTAGCTCTCAGTCAGACTTAAAAATTCAAAGATTATCTTTCAGAATAGGTCTTTAGATGAGGTATGAGTACCACTCAATATATTTCCCCTTCAAAGTCTCAGGTGGAAACTTGATCAAACATTGTGAAATCTGGGAATTAACTCCTAAACAAGGTATAAGTGTTTCTAATTAGCTTTGGTTAAACGGCAAAAATTCTATTAACATCATTTGTATATTCTAATTTTCATTTAATCTGTGTTAAAAATACTTGTTAGTATTACTATTCAGAAGTTGATTTCCCATCTTCCCTTTGTGTTAATCGTTTTCTATGTAAGATTTTGAAGGGAAACCATCCAATGTTTTTGTCTAATTCAGACCTCGTCTAGTGACCCGGTAGAAGGGAATAAAAAGGGAGAAAGGAGAGTGCAGAAGGGCTTGTCTTTTATCTATCTTTATAAGGTCTTCTGATACATTAACTCATTTTCTGAGAAAAAAATCCAATTACCTGAATTCCAATGGCTTAAAATTGAGAGTACTTTCTGTTATCCTCTTGTAAAAGAATTTTATGAACGTAAATGTGGCAGCAGAAATTTTATGATTTTTGTGCTTTTTCATCTTGCTGGCGATTTCTCAGTGCGGAAAACTGAGTTTGCTACAGATCCAAATGACTGATTTTGAGGTATTTAGTTCCATTATCAGTGGTATGTCCATTGATCACTAATTTTTTAGTAATCTTCACATTGAAGTAAGCACTATTGTATTCACTCTAAATGTAAGACTGGACTTAAAGCTCATAGAGGTCTAGCGCTAGAATTGAAAAGTGTTAATCAATAATTTTTTAAGCACCTTATTTCTTATCAATTTTAAATAATTCTCTATATACATGTCTTTTATCAGCTTCATCGTTGGTTTTTAGTGTGTTTTACCTCATTAAATTGATAATTGCTAAAATTATAACTGCCAAGACATTAAGTGCTAAATTTGTAATACCCGTAGATAAAATTATTAAAGTTACTCTAGAATCATAATGAAACGCAGTAATGATTTGCTCTTACAAGGGCATATTATGAATGCTCTTCTAGAAGGGATGTTAACAAATTGTCAACACAGCAGCCTTGAGGCGCCTATAACTTGGAAATTATCTTGGTATTATTCTATTCTATGTGACTGTTAATCTGTTGTAACTAAAACCCCAACTTTTGCGAAAATCATTGGAGTATTATGTGAGTGTTAGAGAATAGTGAAGGCAGTTATGTTGAGTTTTTCATGACCCATAGAATGGGATAGTACCAATTCTATCCCTAGGTAATGAGATGCCATTCACAGTCAGTCATTAAAAATGCTCGAAATTCTGTAAGTAAATTTCCGCTAAACTTTACTACCGATTCAAGTCCCTATAAAGACACCCATAAGCAGTTAGCTGTATTTTATGTATAGGAAAACTGGTAGTCGATGTTTCAATACATTCAGCATTCTAAAGGAATTTATCTTAGGTGTCTTTTCAGACTAATCAAATTTGTTACTACCTGTATTTCCTCCCCCATTGATCTTAGAATCTTTGATTGTAGGATTGATTTTGCATTCTGATGTAGTTTAATGTAGAAATTTTATAGCATGTGTAAAATTCATGGCAAAGCCCCAGTATTTGGCAAGATTGCATTTTAATGTGGATCCTCTAATTTGTACTTTTAGTGTTCAAATGATGTTCAAGCTCTCTCTCTCTTTCTCTCTCTCATATATTAACCAGCATTGACCTCCATCATTATCATTCATGTAATGAATTTGTTAAAAATATGTTTCAACTTTTAATTTCTCCTCTTCAAAGGTCCATTTTAACTTGCGTATTTTAAAAAGCGTCCCCAAAGTTGAGTTTTGAAAGTCACGATAATCCTCACCAAAGTCGGATTCTGTCTTCTTGAATTACTCTAGGCTTTTAGAGTTTTTAAAACAGTTCTTAAAGTTTTTTCTCCCTACAAATAATAGACTGACGTCAGAAAATTTCACTGAAATCTGTAACTTTCAGTTGTGAAGGGAATCACCCATGGATTCAATCAACTCTCTGAATTTGAAAGTCCTCTCAAAGTGAGATTTGAAAATATTTGTAGTTTTTTTGATCTAATATCATACAATTTTCAATATTCGTTCTTTTGTACTGTGTTTTGATTCTTCAAAAGAATTTTTTAAATTTTTCCTCACTTTTCAACTAATTTTTTCGTCTCTTCTATCAGAAAATTCTCACCAGCATTTTTTGCCAAGCTGCGACTTCTAACTATCTGCCTCAAAAAAGTTCGAGTAACATATCTACTGCTAATCAATTTTCAGTCCTCGAACGTAGGTTTCCTATGTCTCTACCTCAAAATAGTGAGAAAAAATTTGACGTTGTTTTCAAACAACGGTGCAGTAATTTCTACATCCAATCTTTCTCTTATGCAGCTCCACAACTCACTAATTGTTATTCAAAAGTTTTCCTTGCAGGAAGTTTAGTCTACAGATAGAAGTTAACCTAGTTTTAAAGATATGGTACCCAATGATATACCGAATTGTAAGAGAAAATACTACCTAATAACCACTTTGCAGTGAACTCGTTCTATACAGTTTCCTCTTCAATTTGTACGTCGAATTGTTTATCAAGCAAAGAAAGTTACCGTTGTATGTTGTATTTTATTGTTTTTGTATTCCTAATCATGTTTTTCAATCTTCATCAGTCACTTCTCTTGTTTGTCTAAAAAAAAAAAAAAATGGAAAAAAAATATATATATCTAGAAGTCTTGGCAGGGAGATGCCAAATCTTAATTAAATTCTTCTATTTTGCAAGTGCTGTTTTCAGAGCAAGTCTATCTAACCATTTGCATACTGAAGACTATGCACTGCAATCAATATTATATTTAGTTAAGGAGGCTCATCTCTTGATACTGAGTATTTTCTCCTGCTAGATAACTTGTATTATCACCTCCGTATCCATAAAAATAGAAAATTTTGGATTTTTTTTTTAAAGAAAGAACATGTTTGTAATCATGTCTGTTTTTATCGTGTGTGTACTGATTATAATCATTATTTCATCTTTTAAGAACTATCATTGATAAACCTTTTTCTTTTGGAGTTGTTAAATCTTTTACCTTCTTCGGGAAGGTAATTTTGTCATTTTATAGTTAAATTCATTCTCTAGGTCTTTGAAATGAAAGTTTGATGGAATTAGCCAAGCTTCCTTGCACCTGAGTTTACTTTCTTGCTACTGTCAACATTCAGTCTTCAAGAGCTGAGAGATTGTAGAAATTTTACCTCTTTCTCTCTACTGGTTCATGTGTCACTAAATAAAGTAAGAAAGAGTAAACCATGGTTGCTCAGTCCTTCTCATCAAATGTTAAGGGACACATTAAATCATCCAAATTTCCTCTCTTGCTGGGTGCTGTAAGAAAACACGGAAATCTTTCCTTGGCTCATTTCACCAAACTATTCTTTCAACTATTTTGTGTACATAAATAGTAAGGTTTCCTCTTGTTTCTTTCATTCATTATAGATAAAATTTTGACTGTGATATGTATAGTTAAATTATTTATTCTTGCATACATTTTATTAAGTATAATTGTCCTTCAATCTATTTTACTTATTTAGTTTAATTTTAAATACCTATAGTTAGTGCAATGATTTGAGCAATTTAAATTAAATAATAGTTGAAACAATATCAATGCAATTAGCTGTTTTACAATTATTATTTTATCTAATAATTTTTTCTCTCCCTATTTCCCTTATGTATTGAACTTTACATTTCTTTCTCCTGTCTAAGAGAATAGTTTCTTAAAAGATTTACTCTTAAATTTTGTACTCCGTTTATTTATATTAAACTAGAGTGTTTTTTCTCATATCTCTTGGTTTTTTGTTCCACTGTCATAGACCCTTTCATCTTCGAAAGTTATTACTCATATTTGGTTATCTATCCAGTTATCTAATGAAGACAAGCATTACTAAAGATAACTGCTGCCCTAATGCTCTCCAATCATCATGGATTGGAGAGAGAGGACTACTAGATTGGGTCAGAATCGAAGCACTAACTGGATCTTTACCTTTTGTGGAGCATGAAAAGCATATTGAATTTTCTGATTCTAATTCATGAGTGATGAACTAACGCTTTCCTTGTCCCTTAATTATTTTTTCATCTTTTTCCCTTTCAGAACCTATGAATTCATTTATTTCCCATCATTCGTAGGGCTTGGGTTGCTATCAAGCTTCCAAAATCAAGATGTCTGGAATAATTGACCCTTAAACCTATTTACTGATCTCTCTCATTGTAAGTTCCCTCAGAGGACTTCAAAAATAGTGCTCAATATTCAGCTCAAAAGCCTGATGACGAAATATAAGTGGTCTAGAGCAGGAGGATTGTAACTAAAATTTTTCTGTTTCGAGATATCACCAGAAAACTGTCCAGCTGCCTAAATGCTTAAAATGTAATTTTTAAGGCAACTTTTAAAGTATTTCACCTAGCTCCCAGCATTAGGTATCAGTATTAAATTTTTTCACACTATGAAGCTTTTAAACTTATTGAGAATGTTTATAACTTGATTTTTCCAAAACCGTCAGTTATGAACTTTTGGGTGGATGCAAATGATCTATCTTAAATTCCTTCCGTGGTTAAATACCCCAATTAAAAACATACTGACAGTTAAAAATATACCAGCCACGTTTGAAGTCTATATTTACCGAATAAAGAGGGCATGGCAAAGTACCTTCTCTTGTACTAATGCTTTCCAGAAAAAGTAAATACTTGGTCGCGACCGAGAAAATAATCTATTAAGACTCTTTTGCCTGACCCTAAGAGTCAAGAGGAGGTGTGGTTCATATAGTTCTAACGTTTTTGAATCATTTTTCGACATTTTTAGATGAACTTAGTTTTTAGAGGAGGGTTTGCTTCACAATAAATTCCTTGACCAAACCCTTTAAGGATTTTAAAGGCGATTTTCTCAAAACTTAAAAATCAGAACTTAGCTGTTTATATATGGTCTCGTATGGTGGAAGGCGAAAATTTCCAAAATTTTGATGCATTGTAATTGAGGCATTTTTCGGAAAAAGAGCGTATGAGACTCCCAATGTTGCTAAGATTGTGCAGTGTAGCTCTCTAGTTGTAACTTATTGGATAGCTCTGCTACGAGTCGTTCCCTGAATTTGCTGCGAGTATTCCTCATTCTTGTAAGAAAGTAAGTTGACTGTGATGTGAATGAATTTCATCTGCCTCAAACATTATAAAAAATTGCACAATCTCAGCAGCATTGCAAGCCTCATACGCTCTTTTACTGAAAAATGCCTCAATTTTCAAGACTCCTATCTTGACAGAATACCTCAACTGTACTCTCCGCAAAGCCAGCAAGAAGTAAAACATATGAGTTGCTATTATTGATGTTTTAAGTAAATTCGGGATTACTTGAGACATCGGAGGAAGTTCGCCTTCAGATGTGACTGTGATAATTTGATATTGAATTGATTTATTTTATTTTCCTCCCTGGTACTGATATATTGGCAGTGGCAAAATATTTTTAGATATTTGATGAAAAATTGAGTGGTTGTCAGAGAAGGTGTACATAAGGTCTGAAACATGAGGATGCTATGGACTGCATTTTGCAGAAAGGAACCACTATCTTTGGCTCTCCCATAAAAGCACTTATCTGCATAGGGAAACCGATGGTATGTATGTTGTTTCTGCAATGGGCCAGAAATAGTGGTTCCTTATTGCAAAATGTAAACCCTATAATACTCGCCCGGAGGAAAAAAGTACCTTAAGCACTACCTAAACAGGTTGTGTAACGATGGTGAAAGTGCAGAAGTGCGTAGTGCGTACCTCGATTTTTGACAGTTTTGAGTTTGCTGCATGAACGTGTTATTGAAGTTATTGTCTATCTGCCGGCAAGAGATTATAATCTGAAAAAATCGGGAAGTCACCTAAAACCGTAGAACTTTTCTCGCGTATCTCAGGCCTAAGTACAGAAATACGTAACTCGTAGCTCGTTCTGGCCCCTTCATTTGATCCGGCGCGCCATACGCACAACGCGCGCTCCTCAGCGTTTTCCGCCAACAGCATACATAAGCTGATTAGCTGTTATGTGTTTTTATTTTCAAATTCCCTGGTTTTGAAAAGGTGCTAAATGTTTATCACTCCAGGACCCTCCAGTATCATTTCTTCATAGGTACCTATTATACTAGCGGCGCGCGGCGTCCATGTCTATTATTCACTCTGGGCCAATGCAATCATGAACTAGAGTCTTGTATTAGAGTTGAATCGAGTCATACAATGCTTTATCTACCTTATTGGATCAACTAAAGCTTCTATACAAGTTTTAAGTATGAATAAACTCTATTTCTGATTTTAATGATCAAGAGCAGGTTCAAAACGCTAATTGCAAAAATGCGTATTCCATGATCAAATGTCATTTTCCAATCATACAATGCTTGATCCGGCCGTATGAGATGAAACTAAAGCATCTGATGAGAAATTGTAAGCGTGAAACTCCATTTTTCAGTCTTCAAATGATCAAAATCCGCCGACAATGATTTTAAAATAGTTATTGCAAAAATGCGCGTATCATGATGCGCCGTATGAACATTCGAGAGTTGCCTTTCCTTCGATAAAACGTTTATTTTTACGGAAGGTTATGAATATTTTTCCTTGAAATTTTCTGGAACTTCAGGTAAAATTACGAACAAAATCATCTGATAAATTGGTAGGAAAATATTCGTAAGTTTACCAGGAAATTAGTGTTTTATCAAAGGAAATTTGGTAACGCCTGAAGGTTCATACGGTGTTTTTCCTTAGCACGGCAGTATAGCAAGCTGTACACACTTTTACAATGCTCGATTGAGTAGTCTGATGAAGCCGTTGTGGTGCACGATTTGACTCGGGTAGGGTATTGTTTTTTCTCGTGAATTCTTTGTTTTTTCTTCTTCTCGTGTTAATTAAAATTACCAGTTCCCAATGCACAATAAAAAGTTAATATTTTAGCTAGGAGTTGATTTCAGTCGTTTTCATTGCGCGAATCGTGTTTTTTGTGAAATTCTGGTGAAGAATCATGAATCAGGGTGTGAATTCGTACCTTGTTAAGTATTCCATTCAATCTAAAAAAGTGAATGTGGAGAACTATCTTACCTAACTTTTCTCGGAAAAAAATAGTTCATCGGGAGAAACGAGGCAACGTTGGAATGCTCATACGGCGCGGCATCGAGACACAACATTGGCCTTTTAAGCCCCATTATTCGATGCCGCGATTATTCTAACGCGAGTTCGAATAATCGCGCCGAACACAGTGCGGCCGGCGGCGACGCGACGCGGCGTTTAAGTCGTTTAACGCATATCAGCGCCTTCAAGACTGGATGAATACTTCTCGCATTGCGCAACGTGCAGTGCAGTCGGCAGTCGGCAGTCAGTCAGTTGGCGTGAAACGTGAGACGCATATTCTGCCGGGCTAAGCAAGAACGCCGTAAACCCATCAAGATTTTCCCTCGTTTTTTGGAACTTAACACTTTATAAAATAAAAACTGTTTTACCCATGCACCTCAAAGTTTCCGGTTCAGTTCTTGATAGTATTTGCGAAAGAATTCTGTAAAAACATTGTCCGAAGGTACACAAGTTTATCTGCTATGACAGATTGTTTCCAAAAAATGTAAAATAGCGTTTACGGCGTTTTAGCGTTGGACAGCAGTATTAGCGCCTAACATTACACTAAATGCGCCGTGATATATAGGGAAAAAGTCATTTTGCCTCTAAAAAATCTTATTGCCCCTAAAAATCGAGCTTGATGCGGCATATCGACGGTGAAACTACCAAACCACGTATCTCGGTTTGCGACGTCGCAGATTTCCTGTCATACTTTTATTTTTTAAATGAAAAACTACTTAACGTCCAGTCTTGAAAATTTCTGTGATTTTTCCTCTTTGTGCGGAGAAAATTCTGTGAAAATTTCAAAGAATGATATTGAGTTGGTCTACTTCGAAAAAATAAAATGTGAGCGTAGATTTTTAAACACCGCAAACGAGATACGTGGTTTGGTAGTTTCACCGTCGACATGATCCTGAAACTCAAGGTGAGTTTCGAACACTGATTGAAATCGTCAAAATGTTGTCATTTCGCAGGACGCATAGAGGTGAGGCGAGGGGACCGGGGGAGGCTGTCTCTGAATCGCCTTCTTTCAAGGTCTGAGAGAGCGTTGGTCTTGAAACAGAGGAGGGTGGTCTACGGCCACGACGAGGCATCGACGCGCATATTCAAATGAATGAGAGCCCGGGAATGAGGAGAGGAATCGAGGCAGCGTTTGTCCTCGGTCGTTTCACCGCACCGAGAAGAAAAATGCGAGCGATTTATTTGATTTGATATGTAAAGCCTCCGCATGAGCGTTTGAGCATGTTTCGCGGCTTAAACTTGTAAGCTCGGAAAATGTTTATAAAACTCTCCCATTCTCAGAGCCCCGGCTCCTTGAACACCTAATCTCTGATTTCTCTTTTCTTTTTAGCGGCGCCGTTCCTACTGAACCTTGGCCAGGAATTCTCATCGTGCCGGAAATCAGGGAGAAGTTTGACGGAATCAGACATTATTCAGTCTCCAGAAACTTCGTGAAAATTTTCCGCAGGAAAAAAATTTCTCTTCAGAAATTTTATGAAAATTTTCTCCTAAAAAAATACGAATTTTTTCAGAAGTTTCATGTGTGTTTTCTCCAAGAATGCCATACAAATTTTCCCATGAAAAGCTTTATTCACGCCAAAAAATTTTCATGAGGGGTCTAGCAATGTGCCCATCTGTACACTAATCATTTACCATTTCGACGGCGTAAGTCTGCAATCACATATCTCGTTTGCGGTGTCTGAAAATCTCCGCTTATATGTTATTTTTTTAAAGGAGAACAAATTGACATCGTTCCTTGAAGTTTTTGCAGAGTTTTCTTCGCACAGAGAAGAAAAATCTCGGCAGTTTTAAAGAATTGCCGTTAAGAGTAGTTTTCCATTTAAAAATAAAAATTGACAGGAAGTCTGCGACGTCGCAAACCGAGATATGTGATTACCGACTTACACCGTCAATTTTTCAGTCTCCAGAAACTCCGTGAAAATTTTCCGCAGAAATTCATATACATTTCTCTTCAGAAATTGTATGAAAATTTTCTCATAAATAATATAATACAAATATTTTCCAGAAGTTTCACGAGTTTTTTCTCTCCAAAAATGTCATAAAAATTTTCCTATGAAAATTTTTATCCATTCCAAAAATTTTCATGAGGGGTCTATCAAAATGCCCACCCGGACACTAATCAGTCACCATTTAGCGAATTTTATGCTCAAGTAGACGTTCACCAATCATCGTTGATAGGCGAATAGTAGCGTTGACCTCTGAACGTAATGCCGGAATCACAGGCTGAATGTGGAAGCAGAATGTGGCTTGAATGTGGAAGTCATCGGATCGATGCCTGAATTTTGCGTGTGTCGCGTCAAATTCAGCTAACGAGGCTTAGTGGCCATCGGATAATGTCGGATTTGTCTGAGCTATTCGAATAGATTTGATACAAATTTGGATGAAAATAATTCGAATTTGCGAAATTTTAGCCGTTGAGCGATGACTGTTGCCTCCCATATTCAGCGTGCGATTCCGGCATTAGTTCGCATGACCCGATTACATTTCTCGTTAGATTGACAGTGCGGGGTCTCAAAAATATATTGTCTTTAGTCTTTGCCGAGGAACGATCTGGTTCGCTGGAGGAGTTACTTTCCAACCGTACAGACTAAGGTTAATGTTGCACAAAAAAAGGAGAGATTAAGTATCTAAGCTACGGAGGAGTTCCTGGGCAAAATGAGGACTCGAGATCTGGACTGGCTGCCCGTTACCGGGTCGCTATCGGCCCGTTGCAGACACCTCACTCCATTTGGATGGAATTAAAAGTGAGATGATATCTCTGCGTTTTCACATGAGCCTTGAGATTGAGGGAATGTATGCGCAACGGGGTTCTTGTAAAAATGTAGATAGGTTCTTATTGCTCAATTCCGTCCATTTATTAGAGTTACCGCGGTGTTACACTTGAAATTCGCCTCCAACTACTCCTCACGATAAGGTTGCCAAATCAAACGCAACTAAGTTAGCATGTCCCTGGTGAAACTACGAAACTACATGGTAATAACAGCTGCTGAAAATGAATAAATAAATGAATAAATACAAATCGAATTCCGTAAAATTTTAAAGAGACAGCTCTCAAAAAGAGTGCTGAAATGTATGTTTTGGGAAACTCTTTTCGGGTACCTTTTTAATTAAAATTTACGAAAGGTAAAGTGTGTTAAAAAGTGGTGATATTTTTTCAAGGAGCTTTACTATATTATTTTGATACTTAAAATGTTTGAAAAAAATTTTGAAATTGTTAATGTTAACCCTGGTAAAAATTGACGATAAGAGCTGCGTTTCAAAATACCATAGGAATTCTTATAGCCGGCTGAAGAAGGCTACAGAAAATCATATAGCTGGCTGTAGAATGCGGAGAAAATCTTACGGCGGGGCTATACGAAGCGATAAAAAATTATGCAGCCGGGCTATAGTTCCTATAGTCGGGCTTTACACTTTATCGCCTGGCTGTTGCTTTTTCGCCATCGATTATAAAAGGATATAAGAAATTGTGTAGAAATTCGTGTGCTTTGGAAATCATTAAGTTTGATACGGAACCACCTTAATATTTACAAAACACACGTTATATTTTCCTTTAATACATATTTTTTCATCAATTAAAACGAGATTAATCCATACAGGTTGTGCAAACATTTCAAAATCATGAGTTGAGTAACGCTGACTCCGCCAGATTAAATATTAGAGCCTAACACAAAGCGGAGCGGCGACGCACTGACGCCTACAAACCTAACAGGGATACTTCACGCATTGCGCAACGCGTGAAGTATCCCTGTTAGGTTTGTAGGCGCCAATGCGCGTTTCGCGCTGGCTCCCCGCCTGCCGCACCGCAGCGTGCCACGGCGTTTGAAGCAACTATTTCACACCAGAGGTATTGAACAGTATTATACGAAACTGAAGGCGCTCTAATATATTAGGAATGGCAGGCATCCCTCAGAAGTACGGAGCTTAGATACTACGGCCCAAAAAGAGAGCATTGGTTCAAAAACTCACTAAGTCCTAGCATCCGTAATTAGCGTACACTTTATTGCCTGGCTGTGAGTTGCTTAATCGCCATCGGCTATAAAAGGCTATAAGAAATTGTGTAGCCGGCTATGGAAGCTATTGGAAATCTTACAGCCGGCCGTAGGTCTATGGTATTTTGGAACACAGATTCTACTGTCAATTTTTACCAGAGAAGTAATCATTTTTTTGATACTTTCTTACGTGAATTTTATCAGATATAAATTTTACTTTAAAAAATAGCCAAAAAGAGATTCCCAAAAATCCCGACCCCGTTATTGTCCGGTGAATCGTTCATTTTTTTCTGTTCTATTACTATATTTTCTGTAAATTTGACAACATACTCTCTTTAAAAAAGGTAGAGTAGAGACGGGAGCGGAAATCTTGAAACATTGCAATCGTGCTCGCGGAATTTGACCGTTTATAAGGACAGAGGACAAAAAACGAGAGTGCAATGTTGCCAAAATTGAATTTCGTAGACCACTGCGAGTTACCCAAATGTAAGTTCGGCGGCACTTTTGCAAATATTGCTCTTAAAAATTATGATGTTCACTTTTTTCTTCTTTTTTTAAAAAAAAAGAAAGATAAAGAAACACCCTCGCAAACAAGAGTTTTCTTGTCATAAGTTAAGTTTTTTATACAATCAGGATGGTGGGATTGGGACATAACGTACATTTCGATTTGCAAATTTCAAATCAAACCGAGGTATAAAAAAAAAAAACTCGGTTGCACGAACCAAGGTAGGATATGATTCCTAGAGTGGGGCGTAAATTTTCAGTCCATTTTATTTTACTCGAGGATGACGACAATTGTTATTAATTAGAACTTTGGGCAATTTTTCTTTCGAAAAAAAGATCAGTCATGTGAATTGTGAGTATGTTACTTGGTTTAGCCGAACTTTCAGTTTTAGTAAGCTTATCCTTGGTTCCTGCAACCGAGCTTTTTTATACCTCGGTTTGGTTTAAAATTTCGGTTGCATGAACCGAGAACACGATCAAACAAACCGAATGATGTAGTTGATATTGAACACCTTACTGACGGTTCCGATAAGACCAACATTTTATTCTCAATGCACACTAAAATTTTGGCTCCATTAAGTCCATAATGTCTGAGGGATGCTCGCTCAACTTTGATTTTTTCAATGTGAAAACAAATGTGTGTGCGCTCCTCTTAGTTTTTAATTGTTGATTTATTTATCCATTATTTTTTTCATTCATTTATAATGGGAGGTGAAAAAAAATTACGTAACAAAAGTATTAACAAGCTCAAAAGTTTATAAAAGCGGTAGGTACAAGAGACAACAAGTAAAGAGTTACAGCAGAATTTTCTGTTTATTTCTACTCTCCCCTTCCCTCATTTTTCTGTTTTACTGCAATTTGCACCTCATATAGAGGCGTGACCCGAGAAAAATAGGGTTTCTGTATTATTTTTCCTGAGCATCACTAATTTTCAGCTTAGGTAACTCTCCCTCTATGAGGGCTCAGTTTTCATCAAGGGTTTTTCATCAAGGGTAAATTTGAACTTGTGGTAAAGAATCGACAAGAATCGATTCGTTGAGAACACCCTGTGTATCGATCCCATTTCCATAGGTTTAAATAGCAGATCAATTGCACAACATATATCGCAAAGCGCGCCACGTCACTGGTCAAGGTCGAATCGAGAAAAGAATTTTGAAGCTTTACGTCTCCACACTGAAAAAAAAATTCTCGGCGTTTTTACCAAGGTCCGTTGGTACCTTTACTATCTCAATTTTTTTACCCATTATTGGTAATTTAATCAAGACAGACTGGTAAGCTTACCTAAAAACCGGTATTTTTACTGATTTTCAGGTAAGAATACCACTTTTATTGGTAATCAATTCCCGGTAACTAGGCCATTTTATCTCAGTAATTCTACCACAGTTCATAAGAAATATTGGCGTTGTTACCAAGGTCCAGTAAAATTACCGAGAAAGTTCAATAATTTTACCGAGGTTTCTCGGAAAATTACCAATTCCATAAATGGTAATTTTACCAAGAAAAAACTGGGATCAAATAGAACCCTGAATTCTTGGTAATTTTACCTTTTTCTTAGTAAATACACCGAGATCTTTCTTTCAGTGCACGTGGCTGATGATATGGATAAAATGCAACACCAATTTTCACATTCATCATTTACTTCCTTAACTTTGTACTTTAGACTGAAAAAAATGCTCGACAAACAAAGCATGAAATTACTCCTGCCTTCATTTTGCAAGAAGAAACTACTATTTCTGGTTCATTCGGAAAACCACCTACATGTATAGGGAAACTATTGACCTATATGTTATTTCTAAAATGAGTCCTAGTAATTCCTAAGTGCCAGATGTAGTCCAGTTCATTCTTACATAAAATTACATACATATGAATTGGTTCCTTCCTGTTAAATTCAGTCGATTTGAGCAACTTTGACACTCTCACGTTGAGGAGGAACATTGATACTAGATAGTGGTGAAACATCAACACTCTCCCTCATTTAAACCCATGTAAAAATCCTCATTTTATCGCAAAACCTGCCAATCTTAAGGGAAAAGTATTTTGATGGGCGAATGTAGATTAAACCTAGAATATCCTCGTGTTCGCCTGCAATAAATAATACAAATAAGAAGCTTGTTAGGAATTTACATTGAGCTTTTCAAGGTTAATACCTTTCCTTTTTCAAATTTTTGCAATTGATTTTTGATGAGTCTAATAATTTTCTATAATTTAATTTTTTCCTGAATTTTTTTAAAAAAAAATTGAGGAAGCACTAAATTACTTTTGGTACTTATTTCTTTTTAATTCTGAGATTAACATTAACAATATAAGAATTAACAAAATAACATAACCCTCTTTTCCTCCATGTGCATAGATCACTGGCATTACAGATTACGATCGCCCGGTATACTCTTAGAAAATTTAATTTTATATAATTGAAACGGACAGAATAAGTTTCAGCGAGGAAACATAATATTGCTTTAGGCGTCAAATACTTGAGTAGATTTTTTAGTTTACATTCACAAGCACACTAAATTATCCAACTCTACGGAACATTGACCATCAGAAGGAGCAAGGAACAGTTTTCCATTCCCACAAATGCATAATTGGTAAACTTCAGACACTTTGCCTAAATTTTCTCTTCGGCGTGGAGTTCCAAATGGTTCCGGACTGGCTGTTGGAAGCTCTGGCATTAATATTTTACTGGCATCAAGGCGTATCTGAAACAGAGAAAATAGCGGAAAAATTAACGACAACTTAGTGTGGCCCTCAACGGGTACTTGATGGATCATTTTCAGGTTGTTCGTCAAAAATTGTTCTCCTGAGAGTTGGTGAGTGATGTCCTTAAACAAACAAGGAACCATTTGTAGACGCACCGTTTTGAAGAATCATGTCATTGATTAACGTCTACTTTTCTACCCAGAAATGGGTTGCGCAACTTTTACATAACTGTGTAAAAAAAAAGAGGAACTTGTTGAATATCTTATCAGACGTCTCGCAGGGATTATTTTTTAATTTTTTTATTTTATTTTTGTTTTCGTTATTTTTTCATTTTCGTTTTTGATTGTTGTCTTTGTTTAATCATAAAGCGCTTTTATTTATCTCCTGATTTTTGAGGAATATGTAAATACCGAAAATAAACATTTTATTAGCTACGCACCCTTTGGCGACCGGAATATCATTTTTTTCCTGTTTCCTGGGGGCGAATTTCCACTTTAGCGGTAACAGGTACCTTGGTCCCGGTATCAATTTACCGGAGCATTTTTACCAGGAGCGAAAGAATTGTTATCGCAGAGGTAACAATGAGCCCACGAATGAAAAAGTAGGTGGGACTACGAATCTACTATGAGTATCGTAAAATAGACGATTCTTTATCTACGGATTTCTTATCAGGAAATTGTCCAATTTGCAACGTAACGGTGCAAAGAATCTGTTAATAAGAAGTTCAATTGTGAACACTGAACACCCTGAAAATCGATCTTTTTCCGTAGATTTACATGGTAGATCAATCGATCATCACAATTAATTAGTGATATTAACCCTTCCCAAACTGGATCAAATTAACCAGAGACTTGCTGAAAACACGCGGGTTGTATATAGTCGGTGCATACGAGCATAAATATAGATCTATAAACACATCCTAAAAGAGAATCAGACATAAAATTGGGAAAAAGAGAGAGAAAAAAAAAATCAAATTTTAACTCAGTAAGAGAGACGTATTTCGGCCTAGTTTTTAAATTTTCTTCCGAATCTGAGCGACACTTCATTGGCAGCACCGAACGGAGCTACGAATTAACGCCTCGCGCCATCGCGCCTTCAATTTTGCAGATGCAACACAGACATCCATCAAGCACGAATAGTTGTATCTCTTCGCCGTCATCATCGCGCGGCACGGTGTCTTTTCTGATAAAAGTTATGGTCAAGTTTAATTAATGCATGCTGCAATGTGTCCAAATCAATGATCATTTTGAAAAAATAATGTCTAGAGTTCTCTTAAGCGCTTTATGAGGTGACGTCTAAAAAATGGTATTTTGGATAAAAGCTGTGTCGGGTCAGGGTTTGTTTTACGCCTATCCCTACAGGAATCCCGAGCTGGGTCGAATTGACCCCTTTGGGGGGATTACATATGGCAGATGAGGGAAGAGAAAGAAAGCGCCAGTATGTCGCCAAAAAGGTAGAAAAAGTATTTCTTTACCTTCGGAGGCATAGAAATAACATGAATTTAACTTCAAAAATTATCAAAATTAGTGTATTTATATACGGGTTGATTTCACCCAACATGAAATTTTGCGTATTAAAAAAGTCTTGGGGGTCTGAGCTGCCGTGTCAAGGAAAAACGACGTATCAAACCTCAGGCATTGCCAAATTTCCTTTGATAAAACACGAATTTCCTGGCACACTTATGAATATTTTTCTTCTAATTTCTCAGATAATTTTGTTTGCAATTTCACTTAAAGTTCCTGAGCTATCGAGGAAAATATTCATGACTTTCCTCAAAAATGATCATTTTACCTAAGGAAACTTTGCAACTCTCGAAAGTTCGGTGTTTTTCCTTAGCACGGCAGTAATGGCTATTGCCTTTAGTTATAGATACTCACCGCTCCCGTCACGGACTGCAATTTGAGATCTGAGAGACTAGAAGCACTTATATCGCCTGCCCTGGATTCGATTGCAACTCCTAAAGGTCCCAATACTTCCAGATACCTTGTCGGCGACTCCAACCTGCGGGTATTTCAATATTAAAATTTTAGTGTGAGTGTCATGTTACTGAGAAATCATTGCCAAATAATGAAGGCGGGAGCATTCCGAAATTCCTTTATTTTTCTATGCGCAGAAGTCACTGAGGCACTTGAGCACCGAAGCACTTGAAGGTTCGGTATATAAGCGTGATGCATCATTTGAAAATATATGGTAAACATTTAAGAAAAATTCACCTCCTCCAACCTTTCGCAAACATTTCAGCCAGGAACGGCGAGACATTCTGAATGAAGTTCACGATAAATCAAAGTACCGCTACACCTTCGATTTGTGAACAGATGAAAGTTTTTTTTTTTGTTAGTTTAACCCTCTATGCCATGAATTAATTTCGGATCTCAGATTCTAGGGGACACTAATCTATTTTGTAGCTTGCATAAAAAAAAATTGAGTACCTAATTTTTTTTCAAAATTTTAAAATTAAGGGAAACAATTTTGCAAAAAAAACTAATGAAATTTTGCAAAATCACGACACAGGGGAAAGATTCCATTTTTAAAAACTCCGAAAATACGTTGTTACGAATTCGTATTATATCTAAAGGGATTTATCGATCAATGGGGCCATTCGATAGAGATCCAACAATCAACCCGCAATGAGAGTCTTATTAAAATTGCCAAGATTTTATTATTACGACATNTTTTCAATTCATTCTGCAACATTTCATTCCCACGTGGTAATAATGATTTATAATGCCTATAATCCAGTATAATGCATCATAATAGAAATGCCGCATTATAATGTCGTATAATACATCGCAACGATTCATGTCCTACTGATTATTGATTATTGTGAGATGAATTCTGTTTTCTCTGATTGTATGTTTCATACGTGCGAAGCACGTACGGGTCGCTAGTATCAGTATAATATTTACCTGAGTTCATTCCTAGAATCTGCCCTCACAAGGGGTGTTTGAATGCTGCCGTCAAATACAGCACCACCAGTTCCTGAAAAAAACAGGAAATGACAATTGGAGGCACTTAAATCAAAAGCGACCATATATATTCTGCATGAGCCCTGAAATCAATAAGAATACTTACATGACAGGGCTCATGTCACAATAAATATTGTTACTTTTGATTTAAATGCGTCTAATTAATAGAATAAGATTGGCGCGAGGTAAATCCTGAGATATGTTGTGCCAGCGTGTGTTAGTTATAGTAACATTGCAAATTTCCTGTAATTTTCTATTCTTTTTTTAAGGGGATGGTTTTTTATAGCGAGAAATTTCGTTTCATTTTAACTTGCTATTCTGAGAATCTTCTCAAAAAGGTCATGAAAAAATGTCCGATTACTGAGGAAGATTAAATACCAGAGGAAATTCTGAAACCAATAGGTACAATGAAAATGCGTATTTTTCTATATCCACCATAGGTATGAGAGCCATCTGAGATTCTCAACAAATGAAAATTACATCATAAGACATTCTAATCTTTATCTTATCCATGCATAGAAAAATAATTTAAGTGCGAAATCTCTTGAACGCATACCTAATTGAAACATATATTTTGGTAATTTTGGTTGATGATTTTAAATATCGACGGCGAAGCTCCCACACTGCGTAACTACCTACCTATCTCGGTTTTCGACTTTGTAGACCTCCTGTTATACTTAATTTTTTTAAATGAAAAACTACTCAAAGCCAATTCTCAACAACTTCTGCGATATTTCCTCTTATTGCGTGGTAAATTCTGAAAGAACCTTCAGGGAATGACGCCGATTTGTTCTCCTTTAAAATAATAAAATAAAAGTGGAGATTTTTAAACTCCCCAAACAAAATAGGTTTGGGAGTTTCGGCGTCGAAATGTATATGACGGCTAAAATCTCACTAAGCCGGCCCATTTAAATCATAAGAGGAAAAACCCAAAATCGGGGACCACTTACACTTTCTAGACATCCTATACTTGTTATTCGTGTGAGCAAAGACTGTTAAATTGATTTTTATTTCAAAAATAAAATGACATTTGAAGAGGGAGAAAGTTGAGCTTGTAGCATCAATCGGCTACACGGACGAAATTTGTGTCAAACCCTGAAATGAATCTCATTTCCGCCTCTTCATGTCAAAACTTACTTCACCTACTTCAATACCATTTATAGCGTTATCTTCGACATATATTTTTGCTGATTTAAAAGAGAGAAGCGAAATGGCTCAGTAATGAATTTTACTGCTAAAGACTTAAAGGAATTTTTCAGTGAAAAATGTATATAAATGGAGCGTTTCCAAAGCTTTTAAACAATTGAATGGGAGAAGAATACTATTGTTGTTGCAAATCATTGCAAGTTAGACTCTGCATGGATTCATGGAATAATATATGGTAAACCATTTTTACTAAGACTTTTAGGCCGTAAGATGCCCTGTCGGTTACGTAATCGACTGGACATTTTTTCTCTTTCGCGGTTACCCGTAACCGATGTCCCACTTACTTTAAGGTCTATAAAAGTCTCAGCGATTACTCATACTTTCTGCCAAGTGTTTGCATGAGTATCATGCAAGTTTAAAAAGAAAACGATTTCTCATGGCTATTGTGTCCTTTTTCGAGTAGCTTGTCTCATACGCTTGAAATTAGGCCTGGTCTTCACGGAACGTTCCATGGGATTTGTCCCAAGTTCGAATCGCAGGAATGAAACTTCTGGGTTTCCGCCCCGTTAAAAAAAAAAAACGACATTTCTGATGTACAACAGAGTTTTGATGTAGCAAATGTTGTAGTGGAGTAGTGAAGTTGTATTGTGGAGGCTCCAGTTGTAATATGGACCGCGTTAAGCAGAAAGGAACCAAGCCACATGAGCTATTGCCAAAAATTGGGAAATTTAATTTTTTACGTGAAAACGGCTCGCGAATTTTTCTGCAAATTTCAGTGAATTTTCAGCATAGTCCGAAGCAAGTTCCTCAAAATTTTCACAAGATCCCGCAAAAACGTTCTCTTTTTAAAAATTAAATCGCCCCATTAAATTTGGCAATTGCTGATGTGGTTTGGTTCCTTTCTGCTAAACGCGGTCCATATATTTGTCAATTACCTTGGAAATCAGTGTTGTCCACAAGGACTCTGTTTGACACTGTGATTAACATTGACTACCTATCTCAATATTTTTTCCAACTTCGCAAGTGAGATGTTTCCCTGAGACTAATCCAACGTACTGTCCCATGGAGACACAAGGCCTTACTTGAGAATGAAATTAGCAAAACTGCTATAATCCCGTTATCTCGAAATCACCCCCAACCCAACAGGTCATACAGGAATATAAGGAACACAAGTCAGAACTTTACCGTACTATTTTTTTCTTTTTTCGTCCTTTAATATATCTACGTGTGCACCATCAGTTTGTATCCGACACTAATGTCACTTACCAGTTACTTTCAGAACCTCAGCGCCAACGGTTAGTTCATCTTTATTGACTGAAAACAAAGTCTCCCCGCGCGGATTACTGACCGTGAAGGATGGCGCTTTGCACTCCATTTTATCTTTTTCTGAAATTCAAAAATTAAAAAATCAAAATCAGAATATTTATTTCACTCTCGATGAAAAGCACATGAACTTGCTTCAAATCACCGTAAGTCATTAATTGACGCGCGTAAAATTTTCAGCCTCATCTCCTGTTGAGGTTAATTTTTTTTTTTTTGCTGTGTTTTTTGTGTAAAATGATACATTATATGCGCTGATAAAAAGGAATCTTAAATTTGCCGCCAATAAGTGCTTTTTCTTGAATCAAGAATTTTGCTGCTCAATAGATACAACTTTTTTGCTTAACCCGAGCATTTTTCCCTTATATCAAGGAAAATTCAGCTTAAATCAAGATATAAAAAATTTTTTAGCGGCAAATCCAAGAATCATCATGCTTGAGCAAAGCAAAGTTTTTTTTTCAGTGTGGGTAACTTAAAATAAGGTGACCTCTTAAAAATTCACTTGACCTAAATTTCTTCAAAAAACGCTTAAGAGGAGACACGTGTAATCATGAACATGGCGAATATTTTTTATGAAGGCTTCATTTTGGGTGCTATTGTAATTACATTGCGCGCTTAACAGCGAAACAAAATATTTCCGAATTCAGGAACATCATGCATGGGCATGTTTAGTCGGAGGTATTAATTCAGACACTTTCCTTATCAATATTCAACGCAGTTCTTGGCAAGTTAAATTAAATATTCACGGCTCAAAATTAATAACATGGAGCCATCGCGTGGGGAAGCCTTTAATCGCAAGGAACACCGCCCGACTCCAAGTTTTTCCGGAGCGCGTTTGTCTCACGTAGACAATACATATAATCCCGCGACGCTCGAGTCCTCAATACAAATTTAATATCAGTTCAGTTGAAAATTCCGGAAATAAATTTTATTTTTTGATGGAGATGTAATCCTTTTGTTTTCTTAAGGAAAGGAGCCCGGGAATCTTGTTTATCTTTTACGGATGTCCTTGTATTTCCCGATGAGGAAATCAAATACGAAAATTTGATCGTATTTTCGCGAAGGGAAGGAAGAGGTGAATGGAGCCGTGAGATTACAGACGTGAAGGTTAAAATTAAGCGTCCCTTATGACGTTTTTAAGCCAGTAAAAACCTCGACTAAATGTATCCTAAAATTTGAAGGAAAAAAACTAGTTTTATAAGAGATTTTCACCAGCCAATAGCCGAAAAGTCATGAAAATTGGCCCAGGAGGACTCTATAGACATAGCTATGATAAAGAAATGAACAATTAGGAAGTAGTGTCAGAAAACATTCAGATCCTATCCAGCCAGACATTGTCAGTTCCCAATGGTTGGTGAGTTGGTGACCATATTACTTATTACATCCTCGTGGATTTAAAAATCATATTCTTTGTCACACCATGTGTTTGTAGTAATTTGAATGTTTGTAAAATTGAATGTTTCGTGCCCTATCTACATGATGTCATTGGCTGACGTGAGAATTGAACCCGAGAACTAACTGAATTTGATAGCGAAACGGTTATATGAACTTTTTCGGCACAAGACGCGACGGCCGGCGCGGCGCATTGCTGCTTTGCGCACAGAAAAAAGTCAGTGCCCCTTCAATGTTCCATGTAAGCAATATGCACCTCTATGGAGCCTTAATAGTTGCATCTATATTATATAGCAGTTAATTGAAGGGACTTAAAACGTTGCGGCGAGTCTTATATCATTACTTTGAGCACACATAAGAGAAAAAAATTGTACGCCTTCAATTTTTTACGTATGCAACTTGGGAATTTACGCAGCATGAATAGTTGTATCCTAAAGTTGCTTTTGCCAATGCGAAAATGCGCGGTGGACTCCTAAATTTAATCGTCGGTATTTTTATTTCCGTCCAGCATGCCTTGAAACGGAGGAGATATGCTTTTTCCTTAGCAACCAAAGACCTCGGTGCAGGAGTTAATAAGTCGAGTTATGAAATTAGAGGAACACGCAATTTATCACGATATAGCTTCGACAAGCTTTCGATCATTGCACTCTTCATCACTCTTCACTTATAACATTGAAGGACAACCGACCATCAGCACTGCATTCTGACATTTTTAAATGATAGTCGTCGTTTCTTTAGTAAGTGAAACCTGGAACCCACTATGATCATTGTGAGAGCAACAATAGTATGAATAAAAATTCTCGGATGAATGATAGTTTGCAGATTACTTACGTAAAAATAAACTATTAGTAACAACACCATTTTCATTTCTAATATTCACAGTAAAATTGTGGAAAGACTCTAAAGTTAAAGGCCTCCCCTCCCTGGATCGGATGAGAGACGCAAATAGACTTCCCATGACCATACTTCTTCCTTCAAGTTGGATTCCACCTTTGACAATTTTCAAATTGCCCATGCCGTCCTGAAACATAAAACACTTTCCGTTAAAATTTTGTTACAATGATAAAATATATGTATTAGAGCTCGTACTGAAAATTGCAAGTCTATCTCTGAATTTCTGAACAAGTTTTGTTGACAGTGTCAGGTTTTGTCTTCGCAGGATTTTCTTGCAAGATTAGCCTTGCTGAAGACGACCATTTTGATAACATGTTGAGATCATAGTGTTGCTGGTATGGTCCGATACGAACCATACTATAATGGTACCATGTCGGTGTCATAGTGGTACTTACCGCAACTTGGTCCAGACCAACAGCAAAGAGTTGCTGGAGCAAGTTGCGCAAACGAATTTTATATAAGTATACCGAGGAAGTTATGTGAAATAACAGATAAGAAAGATGGCGGAAAGGAAAAAGACATTCAAGAATAGTGATGGCAATACATATGGACATTCAAGAATAGAGACAACTCGTGATACATGCACCTCTATGACTTTTTTGGGCGGAGGTGGGCAGAATGCAGATTTTACAGTAAAATCCGGCATTTCACCATAATATCAGACCCTAGGCCTTTGGGAAAATCGGAAATATGACCGTAAGGCAAAAAGTCGGATCGCAGCAGTTTGAATTATTATAAAATACACTCGAAAAAATAGATACTTATTCTAATTTTTGTTTTTTCGAAATTATTTATGGTTCACTCATATTGTGATCACGTAACCAGAAATCCTAATATTAACAAAGTTAAAGTATTTAAAAAAGGAATGTCTACAATTTTTATTGAAATAATTTTATGTAGTGGTCAAACTGAACTTATTCAGGGTCGGGTGTTTTTTAGTTTTTTGGACCGTTTCAGTTAGGTCTGTTGCTTATTGGAGCTATTTTCCGGTAAATCAAAATTTATTATTGCAGCTTTCTCACATTCTTTTTGAGCTAATAAACATTATTTTTCAAAGTTTCCAAAAAATATTTGTAGAAGGACGAAGAAAAAAAAGTAAAAATCTTAAAAAATAACTGCTAAATTCAAACATTTGGTCGCCTCTTTCATCGTGTTTTGTGGTTTAAGTATCCCGTGACGTGGCAGGAACTGCCAAAGTAATCGCTTTCCTCGCGATTGCAGATCCGATATTTCTCAGTTGTCTAACGGCTGCATTACAGCAATTATTCGCTCTTCCGGATGTCTTTTCAACTCTTACCATACCGGAATAGCGAAGAGTTGGCGCCAAAAAGTTGTTGATTAACTGAGCGGGCGCGATAAATTCCAACTATATTGAAAATAGCTCTCCGGAGAGCAGTTAAACATTACTTTATTCAAAGAGGGTACATGGCATATTATGCTCTTTGGGTGAGGTTGCCGCGTCAGCGCGAGTACCCCATCGGAGCGAGGGGGAATCGGGGGAGTTTCGTGCACGACGTGGCAACCGTGCGTTTCGTAAATCGGAGAACACTCAAAATTTGAATAATGCTCTCGCGGCCCGGCCACCGTTCGACTTTTCACTTTTGCGTGCTCCGATTCAAAAGTTGATTTGGACGTATTTCCGCCAAACGGAACTATGTGCATCAAGACATGAGCCCTGAGACCCATAAGAATATAAGTATAACAGGGTTCACGTCATAATGCACATAGTTCCGTTTGGTAGAAATACGTCCATTTCAGGCTCGGGCAAACGGAGGAGTCGAGCTAACCTATCATCGAATAAATTACTCACCGACATTATCATTTCTCACCGACCTCTCACCTCTTGCCATCACTGCCCCCCCCCCCCCCAGTTCCTTCCCGACTGCCCGCTTCCCAACGGAAGGTGCGAAAGGTCTTTCCTTCGAAAAAGAGTAAACTGTAAACTTAAGAAATGGTGATTATCTTGTAAACTTTCTCCAAAGGAAGTTAAGGTGGTCAGTACTTCAGATTCCTTATTCGATAGTCGATCAATTCTAGATTTTAGGACATTTCTCAGGAGTTCCCGGGCAACACATCGTGCTGTCCTACCTTTGTCAGGTATTTGTACACAAAATTTGACCAAGGAACACTCAAGTTAAACCTCGTTAGGCAGAAAGGAACCAAGCCACGTCAGCTATTACCAAATTCGATTGGGTATTTTAATTTTTTACATGCAAACGGTTGTGCGGATTTTTGTGCAAGTTTCGGTGAATTTTCTGCGTAGCACTGAGAAAATTCCTTCAAATTTTGAAAGGTATCCTTAAAAACGTACTCATGTAAAAAATTAAATTGTCCAGTAAAATTTGGCAATGGTTGATGTGGCTTGGTTCCTTTCTGTTCTACGCGATTCAAATACAGATATTATTAATCGATCAAATCGAATGTCGAATCGTTCTTCAAACAGAATTTCACCCTCTTAGTTCTTGTGCTAGATCCACCTTAAAAAATTCGGATTGTGAGGAAGTAGGTATAGGTCAATATCTTTAAATCACTTGATTATCAAGATCATGTCTATGATTTATGATTCTGATTATAAAAGGAATATTGATTGAAAATGAAGTCAAAAGTACGGCCGATGCCTACATGTGCGAGTTGCATGCTTCAGGGATCATTATATTAATAATACTCAGAAAAGTATCATATCTGTGGGCTGATTTACTTCACTTGAAAACCTACTTGTACTATATGCAGCACAATTGGTAATTACATAAAAATGTAAAATACTTTGGTAGTGAAGTCTTAAAAATTTGAATTCGCAAAAGTATTGGGTGAGAAAATCGGGCTTTCGTTAAATTAAGCACGAAGGCATCAAAATCACTAATTGCAATGATGTAACAATACATGGACTGTTGCCCCTGGTTCGCATTTTGCAACTGACACGCGACATGAATTCGACTCGTCTTAATTCCCCAGTTGCGATTCTCGCAAGTTCGCAACACTAGTCGTCCATTCAAATACATAAAAAAAAATCGATATTTATCGTGACAGGCAGTCTCGCTTAGAATCGATTATTTATAATGGATTTAAATGGAGGATGAACTACGTTACCAACTTGCGAGCATAGGTGATGGTCTTCCTTTCACGCTCATTACTTTTCACATGCTTATTGCTCAATGCTCGCATTTGGACGCTTTTATGCTAAAAGGAACTATGCAAAAATGAATCAAATCAAAAAGAACTATGTGAATAGGGTTTGCGTGCTACATGGTTCATTTTGAGTTTATGGATTTTCACATAGTTCCTTTCAGCGTAAATTCGTCCATTCGACTCACTCCAGCGTCCTTTCCACTTGCCTTCAAGGTGTCTTTCACTGGCCAGAAATCTGAGTATAAAATTCGCGGTGATGCTCTTCTCATTCATCAGTTCTATCTGTGCTTCGAAATAGTCTCCACCAAATCTAATCCAAATTTAATCCATCAAAATGGTTTTCAAGGTAAGCTTGCAATTTGGTAATTCACGGCGTGCGGTGGCAGTTCCTAACTTTGAAAATACAATAGTACATTATATGGATAATTTTTTATGGAGTATTCATTATTAGACGGATTATTTTGAAAGGGACATCTAAGAGACTATACTATCTACTTATCAGAACAATACTACCTATCAGCTATCATTCAGGAAAAATAACGCTATTCTTAGTAATTCTGCGGTAGGTCTGCATGTGCCTGCCTTTAAATTTATCAAGCTCATAGAAAATCGCACTGTGCAGAAAATTCACTGACATTTGCACAGATATGCGTACATCACGTACACCGTTTTCATGTAAAAAATTAAATTGCCCACTCAAATTATGGACAATAGCTGACGTAGCTTGGTCCTTTTTGCTTAACGCGGTCCACTTAGCATTCTGCCATGCTACGGAAGAACACCGCACGAGCGTACATACGTTGCCAAATTTTCTTTGATGAAATACACATTTTCAGGTCAATCTGCGAACATCTTCCTCCCAATTTTTCGGAGAATATTACTAATAGCTCTAAATTAATAGCTCTAAATTAATAGCTCTAAATTTTCCGAGAATTTGAAGAGAAAATATTCATAACCCTCCTTAAAAATAAAGTTTTTGCCGGAGGAAATTTGACAACTCTCGAATTTTCATACGGCGCACAGTGGATCGAGTCAATAGGAGAGGTCGGACAACATTTGGAAACTTTAAACCCTTATTACTCCGTTTATAAAAAAGTTTGAGGTCCTAAAAATGGCTCCGTTGGTTTTCTCGTAAAATTTTTTTCGGAAAGTATCCCTTGAAATTTAAAATGTGACGAAATAAACATCAAAATTTGCAGTTTTAGTCAAAAATTTCATGTCTGACCTCTCTAATTAACTCGATTCACTATGCGGCGTCCTACCTTAGACGGCAGAATACGGGTCTTACTCTTCTTAACTTTGTTACAGCTTTGCATCCTGGCTGCCCTCGCGACCGTAGCTAGCTGCGGCTACGCTAGCTCCTCAGCTTACGTGACGTCCTCTCCATCGCACGGCCCCGCAGCGTTGTCTTACGGAAGTTACGGCCACGAGTCTTACCCCAACACGCACCCCGCCTACAAGTTCGCCTACAACGTCCACGACCCGCACACCCACGACGTGAAGGCCCAGGAAGAGACCCGCGACGGACACCACGTCAAGGGCTTCTACTCCCTCTACGAGGCTGACGGTAGCAAGCGCGTTGTCCACTACGCCGACAACGGTCACGGATTCGAAGCTACCGTCCACAAGGAGGGTGGTCACCACCCCGTCTCCGCCCCCGTCTACTTCGCCCCGTCCCCGTCGCCCGCCTACCACGCTGCTCCAGTCTACGAAAAGTACGCCTAAAACCACCCTGTCATCCAAAGCTAGAGAATTGAATTATGAATAAAGATTAATTAAATTATCTCGATAAGCCTGATTTATTTTCATATATTGCGAAAAAAAAGTTCGACGAATAAACGTATTTCTGCCAAACGAGAGACAGGTGGTAATGAAAGGGTATGCTTGTTGGTCGAGAGGTGTAAGAAGGAATGGGGATAGAGAATTTGCAGGTGTCTGAAATTTGATGAATTTCGTGTTGAAATGGGAACTACTGAACACTGGAAAAAAAACATTGTATCTAGCCCAATCGGAAATTTGACCTTGGTACAAGCTTAGTATGACATTTTTTCACATTTGAATAGAGTTGCCAAGCTTATCTTGCTAATGTTCCCACAATGTTAGCAGGACATTTATTTTACCTCTGGGACAAGCTTGAGCCCAAAGATTGTGCCAAGGTTAGGTTTGTAAGACTGCTCCAAGCCTATCCTGACAATATTGCCACAATATTGGTGGGACATTATTTTACTTCCGAGACAAACTTGGATATTCAATATTGTGACAACGTTATGTTAATAATATTGCTCCAAGCTTGTTCAGCGGATATTGTCATCATGATGTTGCCATAGACTTGATGTTAAAATATTGCCATAGTATTGGCAGGATATTTATTTTACCTCTGAGACAAGCTTGGATTTCCAATCTTATCTCCGAGGCGAGGTAGGCGATGGAACGCCATGTTACCTGCCGTCCTCGCGGAAGAAATTTTTTAGCGTCGCAATGCCTAATGTAGGCATACGGATCATTGGAGTGCCGAGGAACCTTCCTAAGTCAGCTACTTTCTTGGCTGCTTGCACTGGCTGAAGTATGCGACTTAGATCCCACTTGTAACGGGCACTGCCCAGGCGAAACGAGAACCAGCCCCATTGACGGGGCGGCCGCGCGCGGACCGTTGCCAAAAAGCTCCATTTGAGCCCTTGGCCTAAGAATATCGGTAAGATGGGTTAGACGGCTATGGATCATGTGCCTATTACGTCGAAAAGCGAAAGGTCGCAGTTTTTGCCCTTTAATTTGCCCTTAAAGGGACCGCAACGGCAGATCCGCGGCGAGCGCGCCCTGGTGGCGGAAATAGCAAACGCGGTCGAATTGTGCTCGCCGCGCACAATATTGTGTTAATCTTATGACAATATTAGAAACAGAAGCCTAAAATGTTTATTTTCTTAATCTTGTGACAATGTTGAAGTGCGAATATTACCACAATGTTGTAAAAATAATGTTAGCATAATATCAATTCAGAAGTTTTAGATATCCAATATTGTGTCAATATTATGACAATATTACGAACAGAAGCCTGTTATGTTTGTTGTTCTAACGTTAATTGAATGTTAACATAATAACAATACCGCAGTATCACAGAGATAACATCGTCTCGATATTATTTTAGCAATTTTGTTTTCCTAATATTGTGTCAATATTGTGTCAATATTATAAGCAGAAGCCTATGTTTAGTATTTTTTTTAATAATGCGCCAATGTCAAAACTAACATATTACTGCAATATTGAAAACATAAATCTACGACAGTATTAGTTTACCAATATTGTATAACCAATATTGTGACAACATTGTGACAATCTTGGAATCACCGAGCACCACCTGACGTTGGATTTCTAATGTTGCTAATATTGGTGCAATATTAAAATACTAAGGTTATATATTCAGTATTGATAATATATTGTACCAAGATTCTCAGGCCAATCTTACTGTTGAAATATGCTCACAATCTCGCTGAGGTTGCCACAATATTATTCCGACCTGCCCAAGGTCAAATTTCCGATTGGGAGAGTGCAGACTCTGAAAAACATCGACAAGAAAAAATTCTCTTGATTCAATCGGATTCTTGCTTAAATCAAGAACCGAGCCTCTTAATTTGAGCGGATTTCCTTTTGATTTAAGAAAAAATCTGATTGAATCAAGAATATGTTTTCTTGTCAATGTTTTCAAGAGTCTACACTCTAGGGCCAATGTGTTTTTTTTCCAGTGAAGTAACGGAACACAAGGATACCCTTGGTTCATGAATTGAACAATTATTGAAGAAGATATGACAAAATTATCTAATCTGCCAAAATAATTGTGTTTAAATGGGAAATGCCGCCAGATGACGTCACCGCCCGGTGCAATTTCTCACTTTTAAATATATTTTAACATTATTTTCCATATCAGAAAAAAATTTTAAAAATATTGTGAAGCCAGCTCTTTAAGCACTTTCAGATGAAGCAATATAAAATTAGCATGAAAATTCTCCATCATACAGCACCAATAATGTCAGCGGCAACAAAACCGTCTTCGTTGGCGCTCTCGGCCGGCATTAATTCATGAACCCTTTCCACAAAGCTCATTTGCAATGTCCACGGCCCATGAGTGCCGCATTCAGTTGGCACATAGTTCCGTTTGACAGAGAATGTAAAATCCCGCTTTTCCATTTCTCCAGAGGGAATGGAGCCCTCTTTATCATTGTTTCATGAAGCTTTCTAGAGCACACCCCATCTTTCCCACTCGTCTATAGTTTCCTTTGACAGAAACACGTCCAAAATTGAACAACGAACAAATTTGGTGCAAGTAACCAAAGTTTTTCGTTATAGAAAGCCAACTTTGGTTCAACTAACTGAAATTTGGTTCCAGTGACCGAAAAATTTGGTGTTCAAAATATGCCGAAATTCAGTCCCCTCAACCGAAGTTTGGTTTATTAGTGTAAGGTTGTGGGAAATTTGCCTGGTTCATGCCCACTGTGTCAAACCAAATCAGCTGATGGCGGAGCTTTTAGGATTAGCCAATGTGTTTTTTATGGCTCATTCACACGCTGAGTGAAAGGAGCTGAGAAGTGAGAATAGAGGGTAACATCGTATCGGTGCATTGTTGATTAGTGCATTGAATTTTACGCGAGTCATGGAAATTATAGCGATCGATTAGAATTGGATGCTTAAAAATTATCACTTTGTCTGAAATATTCGAATGAATCGAGTGCAAAGTATGAAAAAGGGGGAAAACGAATTTTACGAGGTTATAATTACTGGGCAATGACTGATGACTCCCGCTTTTAACTTTCATATTCAGCGTGTGAACCAGGTGTTGTATCATAGGTTGGACCACATGGGATATGGGATAGGAAAAGAGAAGAAGAGAAAGGAAGTACGAGGAGAAAATAAGAGCGAGGAGGATAGTGAAAAGAGCATGAAAAAGAGATGAGCGATAGGAATTTGAAGGTCAGTCATCTATGGGTATCACACAGCTTTGATTCACGTCACGGGATGGATTGGCAAACATTATTGGTGCTCAAGACCTAATCCTCGTGAAATTAATATAATTTTTTCTGAAATACATTCGCGACTCAACGATCGCGAAAAATAAGCACAAAAATCCCCGTTACGCCGAGGCCGATGTTTTTGAGTAACAGAAAAAAAACTGCTCCAACTTGTGAAAGTTTTCGAGACTTTAAATGAATTCACAGGTTCAAACGGGGTTGAAAAAAAAATGAAAAAATAAAATAAACGAATGAATAAATGAAATCCAAGCGTCGGGGTATGAATAAAAATTTCCTTGGCGGAAAATAACAGCGTTTGAACGGGTGAGCGTTTACGGAGATTTCATTATGCGTGTGTCTGTTGGTAACGTTCGTTCTTTTTTCAGTTAAATAAACGTTTAAATCAAGTGGAGGCAAAGTTTTATAAGTTTCCGGTGTTGTAGATCTACAAGTAAAGTTGTTTGGAGGCTGGGAGCAGTGAGCGCATGGAGTAGGTAGAAGTAGAGAGAGTAACCCCCCACACCCTCCTCCCCCGGTGACTTTTCCCCCATTATCTCGTCGCCGCCCCATCGAGGAGGAGCTTTGAGAGGCTCAACTTTCAGGCCGCTTTTCAGACGCTTTTCACGAGCTCTGAATAAACCAGAGCCCAGATCGAAGCCGCAAAGACAAAGTTTATTTCTTTCCGGTTTTTATCGAATCCACTCTTGTCGAGCCCCACAAAACGCCCACATTTTTAACGAGGAAGGCAATCATACGAACCAACTTTATAAGTTTCACAAGAGCTGTTCACTGGATTTGTGACAACTGTTATAATGAGCCGATTATAAACAAGTTAGCGTTATACGTGTGTTTCCTCCCCCCCCCCCCCCCCNATTCCGGCCCCCTTGAAATCCCGCCTATAAGCTCACAAACCCCTTAATTGTATGCAAACATGCTGAGCAAATACTCCGTACCCTCCGACCTCTCTGTGTGTGCCCCATCATTCTTACGTATGCTTCCGTCGGGTAGGTCCTAACATGTTTCGTGCTCGCGCGCATACGTCCAAAAAATGATCATCGTATACAGTTACAAATAGCTTATCAACCAAGCACTTAGTAAGAAAAAGTAACCAAAATTTTGTTTAAATATAAGAAGTAGAACACGGAGTAACACAACGTTTTGGTTAAGGCCTTTTGATAAGATTTTCTCTTGGTGAGAGTGACTAAATCATTTGGTAAAATTAACCAAATCTTTCGGCAAACCCCCTAAAACTGGGCAATGATACCCCGGATTGAACCCGGGTCTCGCAATACACGATTCAATACGTTGACCACTCGCAAATCTCAACCGAAAGAATGGTCAAGCGGAGAGCGTGATAGCTTTAAGTCGGCGAGAAACTTCCTTAATTGAGTGCCTTAAGTTGTGTCGGTTGATTTACATGAACGTTTCAGTTGATCGAACTGCAAGCAAAGTAACCAAAGGCAAGGACATTGTTTTTTGGAAACACGCAACATTTGATAAAAATAAACCTTCCTTCGAGGTCTCAGGGGCCGTTTAAGTAATACGGGAGGTATTTTGACTGACTTTTAGACCCTCTCGCATTGTAAGGTACCAGTAAGACAATCTCTCACTCTCCCTCCTGAATTACGTAAAACTAATTTGACCCCTCTTCCCCAAAGTTTTTATAGAATAGCTGTGATGACCTAGAAAATGGTTGACAAAATTGTTTTAATTTGACAATATTATTCTTTCTTGAAAATGAGGGGCT